GCAGTGATTAATTCTGGTGGAGCAGGAGACTGTCCTTGAACAGCCTGTACAATCTTTCTGGGAATGATGGTAGGAATGAGAGAAGGACAGTGGAAGCAGGGGCAGGGATGAAAATCAAGAGGCCGCAGGAGATGAAAGAAAGCTTCGTGACAGAGGACCCTAAGGTCAAGCAGCTGTAAGATGCAGTCTCAAGTACAAAGCAGAGAACAGCTACCTGGCTTGAACCAGACAACACCAGATCCCTGAACAGCTGGCACAGCAGACTCCTGGGGTAGTCCAGGAGTACCTTAATGGGAATTTAAGCATGAGTCTGAACTTCCTATAGTGACTGGTTAAAAGTGATATAGATAGAAAACCCTCAGTGAAATGCTGGTTACATGGGGTAGCCCCTCTGCCACCCTGAGCAGGCACTCCTGTGCACCAGGCAGGAACTCAAAGCCTGTGAGATGGAGTGTTTTACCTGCTTGGCATTCTCCATGAAAACAGGCATATTTGATATTTAGGTGCACTTTAATAGACCTTGAAAAGAAATTACATTGATTCATTTAGAGAATAAATGTCTCTCCCCCGCCCTCTGCACTGCAAAGCTCTTAAGTGCTTTCACTTAATGGAAATGGAAATTACCTCTCAAAACATTACTAAAACTAATCATGGCAATTTTTATACATTTCCACAATTCACTGCACTATCTTTGTTCTTGCTTTGATGAACAAAGACTAGCAGATGCCTATTTCATGCCTACCTATTTACCATAGTCTCAATATATGTGGATAGCCCTTCCTCCCTACGTGTGCTCTAATTGCTCATCCCCCAAGGAAAATGACTGGAAAAAAAATCTCAAGATAGAAAGAGGCTGTAAAATCTATTAAATAACACCTTTTGGTAGAGGAAAATAGCCAAGGTTAAGCATACTTCACATTTATCCCCAGTCACAGACAAGTCCATTACTCTTAACCTTGGTGTCAGAAGAAAAGATAAAATAAGGCTTTGCAATAACTTAATCACATTTTTAAATTTCTTCCAGCTGGGTGCTCTTCCTGGAGTACCTGAACAATCATACTTTAATTAATCATTATCTATTTCTCTATTTCTCAGGGCATAGTATATCTTTTTACCTGAAAGCAGCATCAGAAAAATTTGTTGAATTCATAAATATTGATTTGGATGAATATGTCACATACTTGGCTGACAGATGTAAGTTTAGTACATATTTTAAGAACAAGGTATACCATTTGAAGTCAATTACATGTACACACTCACACACATTGAGACACACAGATGTGTGTGTTCAGCGTAAGTAGAAATTTAAGGCTCAGCAGCTGAAGTATTCGCTTGACACAGGAAGCCCTGCTGTGAATGAGTGGGGTTTTCCCTTAGGTAAGTGCAAGTCCCACCTGCTCCAAGACTTGCTCTCTTAATAACCATGGACAGCTTCCCAATTGAAAGTACCACAGCAGGAAGATATGGCAATGTCTTATTTTTCCTTTTATGTTGTAGTACAGCTAAGGGATGTCCTAGGCTCAGGGAATCATTAGATAATCACCTGAAAGTTAACTTTCACGTCCCTATGGCCATTACATGCATACTGAACTTTAGGCCCACGGTGCTCAGGGTCTCCAGATTCAGAGTGAAAGGGCTGCCTTTGTACTCTGTGCACAGTCAATGAGCACATCTGACATTGCTCCTGTTACTCCCTATTCTTTTACTATGCTGAGATCTAATGCTGAGATCTTTCTAGAATGCCAAGTAGAGGATCATTCCTAACCACTGAGGGTTGAAATCCAGTGGATGTCTACTCAATGTGATATTTGGCTAACTCAGATGAGAACAAGTCATCAATTTTCCAGAGAAATCTTGGCAAATTACCTTTAAAATAAACTGAGAGAAGGTGCAAGGATATGCAGGTTATATGTAAGAGAACTGTTACTGCACTTTATGTGCAGGAGCTAATCATAAATAACTTGTAAAATTTAACCTGATATATTTCCTATTTAAAGAATCTGTATCTACATCATCCATACAACCAGAATATGTTTCTCGATAATGTGATTATTCAAGAATTTACATAATTTACATAATTGAGAAGAGAAGAAAAACAGAATTCTCTCCCTTAATTTATGAGATTTATGAGCACACCATGTGTTTTAACCCTGCTGGGTTTGTGTCATCAGGGTGCTTTGATTTCACCTGGCCATGCCCTTGAGAAAAAATTGATCTCAGTGTGGCAGGAGATGGCTCCAAACCTGATTGCCCTCTGCTTCCTTTCTTAGGACACCTGTTGTTAGCAACATCCCCATCAGACCTGTCCTCATCCCGGAAATGTCTCTAGTGATATGAATCATTCTCTTTCCTCTGCCTGAACCATCTGTCCCTATCTCTAGGGCTGGATTTTCTTCCTTCCAGGTCTCCTTTGGGAGCCCCTTTCTTCCCCAACTGACAGGCTCTGAGCTGGTACAATACATGATGAATGGTCTATCACAGTCTGTCTCTTCTGTATTCATCTGACCACTTCTTTGTCTCCTACTATGACCGTGACTCCACCAGGGAAAGAAGGCAGCTTCCCATGACCAAGGCTCTGTCCCTAGGGCTAGCAGTGGGAAGACTACTATCAAATACACAAGTATGCCAAGCATCATAGCCATGCTTAGTCTAGGAAGGGTGACTCTGAGCTGACTATGTGCCCAGCATAAATCATTTGATCCACACCACAAACTTGAGATAAGAACCACCAACCACCTCCATTGTATACATGAGGATCTGAGTTCATGCTGCCCATGAAGTCCTTTTCAGAAGCCTGCAGATGACCACTATCAGGTCAGCTGCATCTGATCAGTCCCTCCACTGAGCTTGTACCTGGCCCCAGCCTCACACTACAGACCCTATGACCACTCAAAGGTAGAACTGTCAGACTTGGTGCCAGATCCTTTCCTGGAGCATTTACATTTGACATATTTGCATTTACAATCTATAAAATAGAAACTGTCTTTTCATTTATAACCTTTAATACAAAAACCCTATGGAGGATGGCTTTATCCTTATATTTCAGGTGAAAAAGTAAAGCTCAAGGTGCCGATAACTTACCTGAGGTTGCACAACTAGTTCCTACAGTGCCAGGGTCCAAATAACCTCCTTCTGTGGATGCAGGAGCTTTTGGTGGAAATTGTGGTGGGGTTGAAGTGCAATTCAGGTAACTCAAGGTCCAGCAATGGAGGGGAAGTGCTGGAATCTTGAATTATTGGGAACATGTACTATAAGATAATGGTGGACCACTTCTGTTTCCCTCTGAGATATCTTACTTATTTCCAAACATAAGTGGAATAAAAGGAGAAATATCTTGGAAATATGGGACTTGACTATTACTTAACATTCCCTCTGCTCAAAACCAGAAACAGTTAGTCAACGCATCATTCTTTTTCTTATCATAGATTTGAAATAGTCTACTAATCCTAGTCCTTTGACTTCCCTAATGATTTGCTCTGCATTAAGGAGCTGATCCCTCACACGTAGACACATCTACAACATGAGGTCAAGCAGACCACCACATTTACATTCTGAACTTGTAAGTATCCAATTGCACATGACTTCTTTCATCTTAATATCTCTGCCAGCTCCAAATGGATTTTATGACTACACCTCTAAGGAGACTTTGAATTCTGTAATGTTCTTTATTACTTTTACTTTTAAAGCGTAATGGATTTTGTGCACCTTTGCCTTTTTTCCCTTACTTTCTCTGCACCACCCCTAAGTCTTTCCCATTCTTCTTAAGAACTGCTAGTCTATGCAAGTGTCTCAAATTTACCAATGTAACCATCTTGTGTTTCCACTAGGTAATCTGAGACCCATCTTTATATCTTCTGCAATAAGTTCTATATTTCTGACTTAGCTGTATTGTAGGGTGCCTACTCAGAGGCCTGGACACTCAATACTCCAGTGTCCTTGAGAATGGGACTTGGGGTGTCCTTTGAAGTCCTTTACTATCGGGTTAAATAACCCTTAGTTACTGCTGATCAGGCCCACAATCTCCCAAGTGAGTGGCTGGCGAAGGCTTAAATAAGACAATGGAATTGATTTCAGGGCTCCAGGAGGGACTAACTCTCTGACAGCTTCAGTATTCTCTGAGTTTAGACAAAGATTTCTCTGGGCAGCCCATATTTATTTGGTTCACAAACAAAGGAGAGGGATACTCAAGAAAAAGCGGGAATCTGGCAGGACCTTGGGAGAATTTTCCCAAGTAGTAAATTATGTCAATCAGAACTACCTTATCTTTAGGTTGGTACTTATTGTAGGAGTGTGGAGCCTGCAGCTGCAGTCTCCTTGTGGTTAACTGGGGTTGGAGCCAAACATCCTCAGCTGTGGCCTTACCTTGTCATTTGAGGTGTCACAGCTTCACAAGCCAATATAGGCCTCAGTGATGACCAGTGACCCACAGAGGTTTATTTACTATGAGTCCACTTCCCATCTTTAGACAAGGTGCCTCAGTTTTGGACAACTCCCAAGTAAACATGAAAAGCCAGTTAGTTAATATTAAATCCTGCTTAGAGCTGCTTCATAATGGTTTCCATCACTTTACATCACATTGAGTGCACGGTTTTTAGAACCCATTGTGCATGGAAGATGTCACCACACATGCCCAACTTCTGAGTCCTCTGACCCTACCTGACTACCTGGGGTTCTTTAATGACAGGGTTCACCATAGCTACATATTGGATGCCATTTCCTACCCATTTCATCCCTGATCTGACTTCAATCATACCCCCATAGCCAGTGTGTCCCCAGGGACAACCACTCCTGGCACAGTGAGTTTTCCTCAGCTCCTTGCAACAACGATCACATGAGGCCACTTCCAACAGTAGGTGTGCATTTCCAAGAAGCTTGCATCTACCCTTCCACAGTGATTTGCTGAGTGCCTCTGTGCCCCTTGCACTCTACTGTGTCCTGGCACACAATGATAAATGAAGGTTTACCACTGGGACAAGAGCCCACTACACTGTTCTACTCACCTGTCTGCCCAACGATGGAAGCACTCAATCTGTGTGGGATCCTTGAGGACACCTTTAAGGTCACTCGGATCTGGTAATACCTAAGAAGAGAGCAGAAGACAGGTGGCTGAAGATCTGACTTCTTTGTGCTGACTTCTAAAAATATCTACACTTAATCTGCAAAGCTGTAGGAAACCAGGAAGTTTCTAGGTGGCATACAGAAAAGCATGCATGAAATTTCTCTGGCAGAAAAGAGAATGGAATTTTATCAGCAGAGTTGAAGGGGGAAGGGATGGGCTCTAGTTGGAAGCAAGACATTCATTTGAAAGCATACAAGACTGGACCAGGATGGAGGTGACGAGAATAAGGTAACAATATATGGGACACAGTTACATTTAGAAGTGTGACTTTACTTTAGTGAGAGAATTTCAATTGTACAGGAAGATAGGTTTTCATAACCTATGGTAGAAAATACATATATAGACTGCATTGCTTTCATGCTGTAATACACATACACACACACACACATATACACATACACACACAAAAACACAAACACACATACATACACAAGACTTCTTTAGGACATATAGCAGCTGAATTATCTCTTGGGGTGTTGTCAAACACTTTCTCAGTGTATTTATCTTTCCTTACTTTCTTTAATTTTTTTTCATTAATACATCTACCCAAATGCTATGATTTCAAGACATGATATAGGCTCCTATACTGTCAGGAAACCCTTTGTGCCTTCTGTGGCCACACCTGTAGACATATCTTTTCAAGTTCTGTGCTTTACAGCTAATGACCTTTCTGCTTGCAAGCTCTTGAGAACATTTCTGGCATTATAAGTGTTCTCCTCTTCCACTGATTTGAAATCTATTGAGAAATGGAATGTGAATAAAATGAAGAGAAGTGGAAGAAAAATGGATGCTGAACACTTCATATCCCATGGCTCAATGAGTCAGAGCAGGGTCACTCTCCACCCCCTTCACTCAGTGGCATTGTGAATACTAGAGCATTTCTGTCTTCTATCTGTCTGGACTTGCATGTGATGAGCAAAGCAGATGTTCAGCAAAGAGCTCTGGATCTGGATTCATGGTTGTACTTTTTCTGAAACTTTGAGCTGTGTAACTTTGACTCATACATTTTTCTAAACAGTTTCTATATCTGTAAACTGAGGATTTTAAAGAAAATTTACCTACCACCACAACTTCTGCTTCCCAGAAAATGGAATATGATATTTTTCCCTAATGTTCCAAACAAGCATAAGATAAACAACCAAACACTATCAAAAATTGATATACAAAGCAAACCAAAGGATATTCTCAAAGAGGGAGAAGAAAGACAAGATAGGGAGCTCAGGACATAAGAAAAATCATGGTGGCCAGTCCTCTGCTTTTTCTTCTTATCTTATATGCCCCAGACTGGATAGTGAAATACTTAACATGCTAACATTAAAAGTCATAAAACAAAACAAGTCCCAAGAAAAAATCATTACCCACCTCCCCCACAAATCAGGAAGAGGGAAGCTTAGCAAGACAGAAAACTTTTAGATTGTAAGTGACTATCTCAGTCAAGCAACACAGAAAAAAACAGTTGACCCCATCTCCACCCACTAGCTAAGGCCAACCGGCAAGCATAAAGATCTACTACTGCTAGGCTATACAAAGATCCACCTTTACCAATCCCTAGCTTACCCAGAGAAGTTCTCCAATAGGAACCAGACTTTTAACCTATACAGAAAGTAGTGAGAACTCTACCTACTCTTCTTTGAGGGGTAATGGCATGAGAAATGTAGATGGCTACCTTGTCGCCATTACCAACAAGGGCATAAATATGCCCATGTAATTTTTGTGAAAAAGTACAAAACCAATTCAGTAAAAGAAAAAAGTCTCCCGTTCAATGAAATTTTAAAGCAATTAGCTATACATAGGCATACATTAGACATACATAAGCAATTAGACATACATAAGCAAAAGCAAATATCAAACAAATGAACTTCAAATTTAATGGCATACCTTATTCACAAACTAAATCAAAGGACTTCAGTGAAAAGTATAAAACTATAAATTTTAGAAAAAATAGAAAGCTTTAAAATATTTTAAATGTAGAGCTAAACAGAGTTTTAGACTTGATACCAAAAATGCTAAGTGTAAAATAAAATATTTATAAATTTGATTTCATTAAAAGTAAACATTTTCTATGAATAATGGTAAGAGGATTACAATATATACTTGGTGTGGCATAAAATATTTGCAAATTACATGCAGCTGACTTGTGGTGTATGTGTACACCAGTGATGGTGAAAGTTTTAGAGATGAGTGCCCAAATTGAAATCCAGAACTCACTTATTTGTGGCAAAGTGCCACACTGTAATTAAAGCTAAATACTGAGATTTTAGCTATGAAAAAAAAATCATAACATTAACACAGCTTCAGTTTATAAAAAAAAAAATGTGCCATAGTTTCACCACCAATGATATATACCATACTTATGGACTGGCCTATTTGTTAATCTCCATTAAAATACTAACAGCATCTTTGTGGTCATTCACAAATATGAGCACAGTTGTCAATATACTAAAACATGATCATTGCTCCTCTTCCATGGAGGGAGTCTTGATGAGCCTTGGTGAGCCACATGGGAGTGAAGAAACCCTGCACATCACCCCTCTGACATTGAGGAGACCTCAGTTCAGAGGAAACCAGGTGCCTGGACCGTCACCCTACATTGTAGGACAGGCGGCCAGCACAAGAAGTAACGGGGGCATAATAGCTTGCTCTTTTGGAGGAACTCAGGGTAAATCTACTCTAACAAGAGGAAATATTGTGAATACAAACTCCTAATTTATGAATGGTTCTATTATATCATGAAAGATTTTGCTCCTATGTACAAAATCAATAATTTGATCCTAGTACAAAAACAATAGTTATCATAGTTTGTCAATTTCTAAATTGTGTGGAAATTATTTCTATCATTATTGTTATTTATATTACTGTAGCTAGGAATTCATACCTGTTGTAATCAGTTGTTTTCTCTTATGTAACAATATTAGGAACCCCTGAGGTAATAACTTCATCATAGCCCTATACCAAAAGACTGGGGACTGACCCAAACAGAAACAAAAATCCCACTCTCAATTAATTGGGAAGGTAGGATCTTAGGAGAGACACAAACCAAGAGTCTCCTTCACACAGATGATATCTCTGAAGGACAGACTTTTCCTAGGGAGGCCTTAATACTAGTAACATAACTACCCACTAACAAAATTCACAAAGATCATCATAGAGAATAAAATAATTTTTTCAAATAGAAAATGTTAAGACAAAGGAACAAACTGCAATGTCAGACCTCCAGCTCACCCAGAACAAGTCCAGGACACATCAATATAGAAGAAAATGGAAGTCATACACCTGAAATCTCTGAAATGATAGCAACTGAAGTAAAGAAACAACTCCATCAGTCTATAGAAGAAATCATATCAGAAATAATTGTTCAAGTAAAAAAAGAAATGATAACCATCATGAAAAAATTACTCAGTGTATCTAAAGTAAACATAGATTAAAAAAAAATAGAGGAACATAGAAAAATGATGGAAACCTTGAATGAAAAATATAGGAAAGAATAAAAATGTATGAAACAGATTCCAAGAGATACCCAGGAAATTAAAAGTTCCATTGAAAGCTGGCAAAATCATTAGAACAAAACTTAAGATAGATTTTCAGACCTTGAAGACAGGATTGCAGCTAGCAATCACAAAAGGAAATATCTCTTAAGCATAACAAGGTACCAGGAAATAACAGCTCAATGACTGCAAGGTAATGAAAGAAGAACAATGTAAAACTGATAGGTGTCAACAAAAAAGCAGGTGTCAACAAAAAAGCAGGAGTCAACATAAATAACATAAAAGACTGTTTGCAGAAGTAACAGCAGAAAATTTCCCAAGCATGAGAAAAGAAACCGACTTATAGTTAAGTGAGGTATATAGCACTCCAAGTAGCCATAACCAAAATAAGTCTACATCCAGACATATAATAATCAAAATACCAGTAATTCAGTACAAGAACAGAATATTAAATGCTGTTACAGAAAAGAAATAGATAACTTATAAAGGAAAGGCAATCAAAATCACAACAGACTACTCAATACAAGCCACAAAATTAAGAAGAGCTTAGAGTGAAGCATTTCAAGTCCTGAAACAAAATGACTTATAACCCAGATTGATGTTCCCTGCAAAACTATCTTTCAAAATTAATGTAGAGGTAAGATACTTCCATGAGAAACAACAAGTAAAGAAATCCATGACCACCAAACCAACCCTACCAAGAGTAGTGAAAGATATTCTAGGAAGAGATAAAACTGAACACAATTACAAGAACAACAACAGAAAGGAACCACCAGCAGGGCAAGCAATTAAAGGGGAAAAGTAAGGAAAGAACAGGAGGAAAATATGAAAAAGATAAGGCAAACCATACCAGTTATAACCATCAATGTAAATGGTCTCAATTCACAAATCAAAAGAAACAGACTCGCAGAGTCAATCAAGAAACAAAATCCAATAATATGCTGTATACAAAATACATTTAAATCAGAAGGAAATTCATAGACTGAAAGTCAAAGGATGCAAAATGATATTTTTTGCTACAGGAACCCAGAAAAAAAGCAGAAGTAACTGTTCTGTTTACAGACAATGTGAACTTCAAACCAAGAATGATCAAAAGAGATAAAGACAGTCACTACATTTTTGTCAGGAGAAAATTTCAAGAGGAAGAGATAACAGTCAATATATATGCACCCAATATGGGAGCATCCAACTCTATAAGAGAAATATTAATAGACATGAAAAATCAAGTAAGCAATAACAAAATATAATAGCAGACCTTAATAACCCACTGTCACAAAGAGGTAGATCAACTAGACAAAAAAGAGCAAAAATTCACAGAATTGAACCCAACTTATGAACAATAGACCTAGTAGACGTTTACACAATGTTCTACCTAACAGCATCAGAATATACATTCTTCTCAGGTGCATACAGAATGTTCTCTAAAATACACCATACCCCACCACATACAACATGCATAAGTAAATGCAAAGGAGT